ACATACACGGATAACAGATTAATAACACGGATAACAACATTTCTTACCCAAACACTCATTTGTGCATTTCTGTGAAATTTTACGGCATTTCTTGTTAATTTTTTTAGACAGTTAATGTTTTTTCAGTCTTCTTCACATATGAAAAACTAAATCAAGTTAACCCACATACACGGATAACAGATTGACAATACGGATAACATAGTTTTTTACTAAAACTTACGTTTATGTATCGCTGTGAAATTTTACGGCATTTCTTGTTAATGTTTTTCAGTTTTCAATTACCTTTTTCCGTTTTTTTCTTTTATTCAAGTGCTGCAGGCCAAAAAAACGTAATAAAAAACACAAAAGCCATGTTAGCAAATGTTTGCTGCTTCGCAAATCACTCAATTGGGGTTGGGGCAGTGTATTGTAATTGTGTTGGCATTTCATCAAACGGTAAACTAAAATAGATTTGAAACCTTTTTTTCCAATACAACCACAAATGCGCATATAATGCGTCAAGCGCGAAAAATGTGACTTGAAAAAAGTTAAGAAAAATAAATTGCGGCCACGCTATCTTTGCACGGCGTACCTTGCTTGATTAGAAAACGCCACTATGCGTGTATACATATGTTTGTGTATTTTTTCAATTTTATTTCATTTTTTTTTTAATTGTTTAATTTTCTGTATGAGTTTGAATTTCGTATGCTGAAAATTTTGACAGCGCTTTAGGGGGAAGTGCGCGCGGCTTTATGAGTGCATTTCTAATACTTTTTATGTAGAGCTGCACACAAAGCTGTGTGTGCGCCTGTGAACTAGTTTCCCATGTTAACCCTTTTGGTATTTGTTGTTGTTGCTGCAAAGCACATATTTTTTCATGCCAAATATATTTATATGTGTGTTTATAAAGCCACCTTTTGAATGCGCAAAAATTTTCTACTAATTTTTGTCGGTGGCATTTTGGTGTTGTTGCTATCTTTTCCACTTGGTGCGCCAAAGAAATGAGCGCGCGCACACAAGTATCTAAGCTAACATGCATACATACACGCGCGCGCATGCATATAACACATTTAACTGTCATGCCGCGCACCTTCCCTAAAGCGCGCAACTCTTTTTCCTTAAAAACACACAACAAACATATATGTATACACACACGCACGCATACATCAGCGTCAACTCGCGCTACAACAATCGCCAACATGATCTGCATAACCAAAATTCTCAAAACCTTCTTCCTGTGGCGCTTCCTGTCATCCCACCGCACGCCTCTTCTAACCAAACGCCTCTGCTTGCAGCACTTCAAAGCAGTTCACTAAGCGTATCACATTGCTGCAACACTCCTGCTACTCATAACGCTGCGCAGCGCTTCCTTTCACATAAATGTATAAGGTATGCGCGCGCTTATGTCTTTTTACCGGCAATTTGTCTCTCATAGTTTGGCCAACATTAGCCATGCCAGTGGTTGTCTTACATATAAACAAGCATGCGCGTGAATGTATATCCTTTGTGCCTGCGCATTATACACAACGCCGCTCTAAGCACAACGCGCTTCTAAATTCACTTAGAACTTTTGCTAGGTAACTTGCGCGCAGGCATTCTTCGCTTTTTGCTTTACCTTTTTTGCACATGTGCGCCTGTGCGCTTGCGTAACCAGCTCTTCAACTGCCGCCTGGCAGTTTCAAGCATAGCGACATGTCAAGCCAGCAAATAGACTGGTTGACTGCGTTTCCCTCAAATAGTTGTATCTCTGCGTTTATCTTTTTCCCCGATTTCTGTTTTTTTCTTAACTGTTTTTTTTTTGCTGCGTCCTTATTGTTGTTGCGCTTATTTGCTCCTTTGACACCAGCCATGTTGTGCGTTTATTTTGTGCAAATGAGTTACAGTTGCGCTTCACATGTCACATGCTATGTACATATGTATGCAAGCGCATGCGAAAAAATTTCGGCATACTGTTACTTTGTAGCCTTTGCTTTTGTGCTAAAAAGCAACAAAAGCAATAATAAACACAAAACATAACAAAAAAAAAATTGGTTCGCATTCTTCACTCGCCTTGTTAGCAAGGGTTATTATGCTTGCAAACTTTTCTTCTAAAACATTTTTTTCTTGTTATTTCTTTTATCTGCAGAATTTTTCCCCTGCGCCTTGCATGCGCCCCTATACTGCAGCGCATCATTTGATTCCCATCGATTATGTAATGTTAAAAAATTAGCTGTATGCATTGCACTTTTGATTGACAGTCAAATTAGTTGAAGCGCAAAGCAAAAAAGTTATAAAAACAAAAATAAAAAAAAAACTCAGAAACTACTAAAAAACACTTACAAAAAAACAAACCTCCTTTCGGTGCATTTTTTTATTTTTATTATTATTCTTTTTTTTCAACTGCGACCTCTTTCTTGCATCTACTGATGAGGTGCTAATAACATTTCATATTCCGTCAAACAACAGTTATCGACTTGCGCTTGTTGTTTTTGCTTCCTTTTTTGCACTGCTCGCCTGGCGCCTGCTGCATAATTCATCATTCTTCAGGCGCACTTATCATTTGCGCTTCAGCATTATTCATTTCATTCAAAAGTCAGCGCTCGCTGCATACACGGTTGCATTCACACTTAATTGACTGATTGGGATACATAATCAAATAAAAATATTTCATAAAATTAGCTGTTAACGCCGCCTTATGTAATTTGTTATACGTTTGTCAAAACACTCTCGATCGCTCTCTTTCAATCTCTCTCTCGACTGCTCTATGAAGAGAGTTTTCCTTTCTCTAGTCTAAACTCGATTGACTTTTTTTAAGCCTCTCCATGAAACACGTTTTCACTTTCAATATTCCTTCCACAACGAGATATCTCAAAAAATTTAAGTCGTTTTATAGATTCCGTATCCTTATATGATCCACGCTATAAAGTCATCGCACTAAAAGCTGCTTTTAAGCGTGTGCCAGAATCACATATTACAATAGATATACACAAAAGAAGGTTTAACGTTGTGGACTATGCAGCCAGTTGTGAATCGGCGATCACTAATGATAAGCTTTATTTACAGAGTCCCGATAAAAATCT